GATTATACTAGGCTATACTGTATTTGTGTACCATAGAGGATCAGCAAACGCAACAAAAGTAGGCTACTGGTTGAGATACAAGTGTCAATGAAACACCATAACCTCCTGTTATTAACTCTGGGGTAAGGGTTGTGTGGGGAGCTCTCCATGGTGCTGAACAGCTCCAGGCGGGCGTATTTCTACCTTGATGGTGCGCCGCGACCGGCTCTGGGTCAGCTGGGAAAGGCTTGAGGCGAAGCAGGCTCACAGCTTATGTGTTTGCCACTTTCTTTTTCATTTTAACCCACACCATGATCTTTTCCTGACCCTAACCAAGTGTTTTTTGTGCCTAAACCTAACCAGACCTTAACCACAGGGCATCATGATGATTTCAGAACAACGGGACTTCGGAACAATGGGTTTAATATGGTCGGACCAATGGGCTGTCGGACCAATGGGCAGACACCCATCAACTCAACGTGAATAACATTAACAATGACGTCTACATCCATATGGCTCTAGTTAAGCTAACGTTAACTTCTGGAGCTTAGCTTCATTAACTTATCTGTAATCGCAGAGATAACAAAGGTTGGCAAACGTTATGCTGAATGATTCAGTGTAAATACTGTAGCACCAAACTAACGGAGAGACACTCTTGGTAAAGATGATAAAAAGGCCGTTATCCTTTTCTCATATTCTGAGCCAAAAACCTGAACTTCAGTGGCACTTTAACTTGTTGTCTTTGATGGTGACTGCAACAAAAGGTGGTTCACAAGCGTACACTGTGACCTGTAAATTTTGTCTTGTAATTTAAGCTTTTCATCGACCTTCTCAACAATAAAATGACGATTATATCCCTCCAATGCGTAGTTTAGGCCCTTTTGGTTACTTCTCAATGACATCTGATCGTTATGTCCCTAAAAAATCATCAATTGCCTCCTGCGAAATGCCGTGTACTGTGACACCTGCCATAGCACCGGTCACTGAATGTTGATAGTTTGTCCAAGTGAGTTGAGTGGAGGGGGGCGTGGCTTAGTCATAGGTCAACTGAAGGTGTTCACGGCTTTCCCATCGGAACAGGCTGTCTGATGGAAAGGTAGAGCAGTGAAAATACTCGCAATATAGCGTAAGCTTAAAATGATAAATGATTTTTTTTAGGTGGCTAAAATATGTTTTGTTGCGGCCCCCTCCACAGCAGAACTCCAGCCTGCTTCTTCATACTGGGGACGTGCTGACTGACATCCACTATACGTAATACACTGACTATGGATAAGTACCCCATACAACCCTACTACTACAAAAAATACGAACTATCTCTTTAAAGCTCAGTATGTCAAAATGTCAAAGGAGAACAGCTTGACTTATAAAAAAGGGGCAGTGGTACTGAACATTTTGGGCTTATTTTATAACGTATGAGCTGTTTATGCTGGAGACCTGAGCACAGTCAGGCCAACAGAAGCTGAAGAACAGACAGATTTAATGCACTTTTAATTGAACCATTATGTGTTGGACCTTGAAGCATAAGCAGGCTGAGTGAGGCCCTTACATTTATATTAGCATTGCAGTAGGCCTATCAATACTACTGTGCCATTTACAGACATTAAACTCTGTAATTGCACTAATTGGAGTTATTTGTAAAATAAATAGAATGGAGCTGCCATTAAAACGCCCCAGGAGCACCTTGTGTGGGGTGAATCTGATAAAGTGGCTGCCTCTGTGTTTATACCCTGTTTTCCAGCATTCTATAAATGATCCAGAAAATGTCCTAATGAAGAATACAGGTGGGAAAGTCATTACGTATCTGGGGGGGTCTTGCTACTGCTTCATGTAGGGAGAAGTGCTCTATCTATGGGTGACCTGGAGAGAAAACATTCCCCGCTAATGACTGCTCTCAGAGCAGCCAGCATGGCTGACTGAAGCCTAAGTAACCCCTGAAGAAAATGGATTTCTAACCCCCCCCATCCCCCCGGAGCCTGTGTGTAAATGAGGCGGTCTGTAAATGAGGCAATTCACAGAGCATTATTCTATTACAGTACATACACCTGATTATGGAGTAATATACTGTAAGATAACACACCTGATGAACAAGGCCTTCAGAGAGAGTTGATGGTTTAAAGGTCCAGTGTGTAGGATTTAGGGGGCTATATGGCAGAATTAGAAAATAATACAGTAAGTATGTTTTTCTTTTTAGTGTATGATCACCCTGAAATAAGAATCATTGTGTTTTCATTACCTTAGAATGAGCTGTTTATATCTACGAAGAGAAGGGTCCTTGTCTCCGGAGATCGCCATGTTTCTACAGTAGCACAGAATAGACAAACCAATCACTGGCTCTAGATAAGGCCAATCGTGTTTTGTTTTTTTTTTATCTTTTTTTAATTAAACATCAAACAACTATTCAGTGTTTTTACCAATTTAATTCATTTATTTTGGAGAGGAAGAGACCTCTACAGATAATTTGGCTCCTGATGTAAACCTCCCAGCATCTTTTTAGAGCAAAAAGGTGAGCAAACATTAGCAGGTGATAGGTTAGCGGCCTATCTCCAATGTGCCAAACAGTGTCGGAGATACATAGATTTGTAACATGAAACTCCTTTATACAGTGTTTTACCAGTTTTAATCACCTGATCTATCTCTTCTGGGGAATAAGTCGGCTCACGGTGATGTTTGCAGACTGTACAATGACAGCTCCTACAGAATCGCAGGTTACAACGTACAATGCAACAGCTTCCCGTACTGAGTGCACGAGGATGCTGCACAGATTAGTACTTCTCCAACTGTGAAGCACAACATGGAGGGTCACATTATGAATATGTTTTTTTTTAAGTTCATAAGTTGTATGAGCACTGTATACTGCGGAGTGTCTCTCTGTGTGCTTACTAGCTGCTAGGTTGCTCCCCTGGCAGCTGCAGCTCCGCCGCTGTTCCCTTACATGCTTCGTCCCTCTTCACGTGATCATGGAAAGAGCTTGCAAGGCTTCTGCTGCCACAGCTCCACAAGGTTTTCCTCTTTGCTGGAAACCTACACATTTCTTTTAGCATGTTTCACCTCCCTGGCAAGCTGCTATCTGTTTGTTTCTCTATCTGTCTGTTTGTTTGGGTTTAGCACCAGTGCGCCATTTTGTGCTGCATTTCTATTGGTTGGTTAGTAGATGTAGGCCGCAACAGCTGTCACACTGTGAGATGGTCATCCCAAATTTCTGACACTGTCAGAATTTTATCCCAGATTGTCTTTGATCACAAAACCGTGACAACCGCCATCCTTGAACTTCTCTCACTGTGCGATGCAGGACCGCTGTTTCAGAGCCACGACCAGAGATATCACCACAATGATCATCTTCTGTCTGGGATAGCCCAAAATCGCACAGTGTATACCAGGCTTTGAGGAAACCAGAAAATAAGTTATTGTCCATTCTTAAAACTCTCCAATCATTTAAAAAAGCTGATTAAAATGTTATGATAATGATATTACATTTTTTTTTCCTGTAGGCTTCTAGATAGTGCTTAATTTCCCATAGACTAAATGAGGTGGCTGACAGATGTACAGTAGCATTTGATTTTGATCATATTCGGGATATGGTGTTCAAATGGAACACAGAAATCTGAGTATTCATATCCCTGTACATACATGATTAATAGTAGTATCCTTCATATTGATTGCTGCCTTCTGTTTGTGCTGATGCCAATGATGTGTACAATAACACAAAAACAAGATGCTTCAAAAGCCTGATCATCAGCTGGATAGTCATGTCCATGTAAACCAGAGAACTGTGATATAGAAATTTACAGTGAGGAGAAATACTTTCGCAACCAGCAGCTCCTCATACCTTACAACTCTATTCAGCTATCAGGTTATTTCAGTCCCAAAATTATCATAACCCTGCTTACTTATGTCCAAAGCATTTATTGGTAACATCAATGCAATTCATTGTGACACAACATTTATTTAAATCACATCATCATTGTACCATTGAAAGCCACTGTTTACTGTGATTGGATTAATTAAGGCTTTTCCTGTCTATTCTTCCTTCATCAATCAGCAAGCATCAAAATATAATGGTTAATAATAGTATAATAGTATAATAGTAATAATAATAATAGTTTCGACAGATCCAGCTTGGCGCAGTGACAGTTTCATGCCAAAAGGCTTCGCCGAAGGTGCGCTAAAAGCTCGCCAGCTGAAACCAGGTCTACTGTCAGTGCAGGGGGAGCGCAGCCGGTGTAAGCCGAAGTTTGGCTGACCGGCGGACAGTGCGCACACGTCATCAAAACCTCACAGGCAGGTTTCCAGAATATCAGGCACATTAATAATGCAATAAATGTATCTCTATATCGACTGTCCCGTCACATCTGATGTCAGATCAAAGGGGATTGGCACGCGTAATGGAAACCCAATCTGATTTGATTAACACAGCTGCAAACTAATGAGTTCACATCCCTCTCAGCCAACCACAAACAGCCACAGCATCAGATAGGGAGTATATATTCAGCATCTGTCATCTTAGAAAAGTCAAAAGAAAAGAAACCGAGTGAGACTGTGAGAGAGAAAGAGAGAGAAAGAGAGAGCGCGCACGCACGAGAGAAATGCAACATTGATTTACAATTGTGGTGACTTCCTCCCAGGCTACCTTTGCATCATCAGCCCGTGGAGGTCTGCTCGCAGTTCCGTATATTCGGACACTGCGAGCTTGGACCTCCCGGACCAAAACATCAGTTTCCTCCTGAGAGAAGTTTGGCCGTCTGACGCTGCTGCTCTCTTCTGCCATGGCGAATTCAGTAAACTCTCATTACACCTTCGCGTGGCCCATTTAAGGGCGAGGAGAGGGGCTCATTTGATTGGTGTGATGTGTGTAAAACCCACTCCACGCCTTCTCTCCTCCCTCTTTCCGACTTGCGCAGGTAGGAGGGACGGAGGTGGGAAAGAGGAGTAGCTGCGCCAGGGCGCACGGTGTGCCAAACTTGCAAAATCCACCTGGCCACACCCAGTTGGTGAAGCGCAGGTGCGCTGCGCCCCCACTTCGCCCAGTCTGCGAAACTAGAGCCCAATGTCTCTTCACACATTTTAAAATTAAGTTTAAAACCATCAAAATGATTAACCACATTCAGTGTTCATCCATGCAAAGGAGAGATGTGACTTCATTAACCGTGTGCAGTCAGATCAGACATGAATATAGAATGTTAACTGTTCTGCTCATACACCAGCTAGCTAGCAGTGGTCTGGGGCTGGTATGGATAATACTGTTTTGGGGTGAGCCAAAATGTATCATTAGCACAAGTATGACACTCTCAAATACTGAAGGTTAAGGTCAAATGTTTGGTTGGATTTATAATCTTGTCTTTTTTTGATCAGATAGTTCCAGATTCAAAACTTAATTTTGCCGATATTAGACTATTTTATGTGAGCCATGATCTGGCAACAGCTGCTTCGGTTTAGACATCATCTGACCAAAAAATTTTGATCCAAATAAAACTAAATCTTGATAGGTGCAAGGAAATGGGTAACATCACATTTCCCACCAAGCCCTGCTGACTTCAACCAGTGAGATGAGCACAGAGAAAAACAGATATACATGAATCTCAAAGGTGTACTAACAGAAACTGTAGCTAAAGAAAAAAACGTGACACTAGCGTGCTGTTGAACTAACGTCAGCACCCTGATGCCCAAAGCAAGGCACTGAATATGTAGAATTCTTCAGGATTTCAGACATTCGCTTGTCTCTTTCGAATGCTTGAAATAATTTTAACTCTCACTTGGTTATGCCCACCATGACTTCACTCATGTCCCACAATTTACTGGCCACTTCCTGGTCTGTAGCCTTGTCCAGCAGAACCTGAGGCTGACAATCTGCAAAGCACTCGCCCTGTACACCATCTACATCCGGGCTGCAGGCCAAATAGATCGAGGTCCGAGCTCCTTCTTCAGGGCTCTTAAACAAACCCCTGGAGAGCAGGTCAAACATGGGCTTAACTAACACTGGGATGTGGACATGCCTCCCCAGATTGGTCCTCACTATGCCTGGAGTCAGAGCATTCACAGTCACCCCGCTGCCCTCCAGTCGTTGGGCCAGCTCACAGGTGAACAGCAGGTTGGCTAGTTTGCTGCGGCTGTAGGCGAAGGCTTTGTTATAGCTCTGCTCGCTGTTCAAGTCCTCAAAGTTAATGTGACCGTGCTTGTAGAGTTTGGAGGAGACCACCACTATGCGACTGGGGGCTGATTGTTTCAGGAGGTCCAGCAGCAGGTTGGTGAGCAGGAAGTGGCCCAGGTGGTTGACCCCAAACTGCATCTCAAAGCCGTCTTCTGTTTTGGTGTAAGGACACTGATAGATACCGGCATTGTTGATCAGCACATCGAGTCGAGGTTCCTCCTATTCAACAGCACAGAAGAAAGGAGTCTGCTTCAGACACTGACAACATACAACAGCGTGCCTTAGATCTACGTGTACTGTGTGGTACGGATGGGAGAAAAAATCTATATAGCATAGTATTGCGATATTATGCGTGGTGATACTGTATCAATTCACAGATGCCAAGACTGATTGTTTTATTATATATACGTTATCAATTTTCGCAAATACATATTCTAATACAAATTATGGTGCTAGAATAATAAAATCGGTTGCTTTTTCAGTCCACAAGATGGTGCTGATGTTGTTTTTCCTGGTGAGGTCAGTAGATGTCTCAGTCAGCTGCATTTGGCAGGAAGTTCATCAAAACAAAGATGGAGGCACCAAAGAAAGTAATCGTTGGTGTTAAAGTCAAACGTCTGGATTTACTTTAGATTTTTAACACGGAAGAACAGAAGGACTGCTAATACTACGAACACGAGGGCTCACATCACATGCCACCATCCAGACACAGTGTAAGCTGCTGACAGCTAAGCTAATGCTAAAAACCCACTCCGCAAAAAAAACTGAACCAAGACTGGACACACTTAGCACACTTGACAAAACTACCAGCCAACTCTGAGAGAGCTAAGAAAATAACACAGTCCATCACCTGCTTCCTGTGCAAAGATCTGTGTCCATACAGCGATGCTGAAAACGAAGGTTTTTAAGCTAAAAAAAAATTATCGGTAGGTGACTCTGTCCTGACGTTTTTTCATTGACACAGTTGTACCCAAGCTCTACAGAGAAGTAAAATATGAAGATGAGAAATCCTTGAGTAGGCTACAGCTAGAGTGGCATTAACTTGTGATGCATGGATTTCAAGGTCAGTGGATTCACATGTGACTGTAATGGCATATTATCTCACAGAGAACTGGTGACTGCTGTCTCACGTCCTTTAAACTAGAGCAGTACACATCACACCGTAGCACACACTGCAGACCTCCTGCAAAATGCTGCACAAGAATGGCGGATTGTGGTTGAAACAGACAACGCTTCTAACATGGGTGTTGCCATTCAGTTAGCAGGATACCTGCATGTGTGTTAAGATCACACGCTTAATCTGGCCTTAATATGCAGCATTTCTGACAGGTTTCATGATGGTGTTGGTCAGTCTCTCTGCTTTGCATCACACTTTGCTGCAATAAAAATGATGTAAATCAAATGACTGAAAACGTTATCTTAATTTGCAGTTGGAAAAAAAGTAATAAATTCAAATATAGAAATACATTTAATATCTCCTAAATTATTGTATTGTATTGTATTGTATCGTATCATGACCTCTGGTAATTCCCACCCCAACTGTATGGTACATTATGCTTTAATAATAGCAATTTGCCTACAAAATGTATAAGATTTCATATGTTTCATCATGTCTTAATGTTCCATTGTTGTAATATCATTAGTAAACAAAATTACAGCTTATTTTCCATTAGACAGAAATATTGCTGTAGTTAATTAACTTTAAGAATTTGGTGATGTGTTATACAGTAAATTAGCTACAGATTAGATAAAGAATTTACCAACTTCAGTAGCAGACAGGTGATCTGTTTACAAGGACATGTAGGTAATGTTACTGTAACTCCTACGCTACGTGAACTCCATTAAAAATCGGTCTCTATTGATTTGTTCAGGAAGACATAATAACAAAATATTATGTGTTTAACGTTAAATGTACAGTGTACAATTTTGTGTGATGGTCAACAATTCGGCATTGAGCTTTTCATGTAACCGTGTAGTCAGTAGTTACTGGATGAAAATACTCAGATGGCAGGTTTATAAAGTTGAAATTTTCTTAAATATGTGATATTAGTGGAACAGAATATATGCCGAATTACTAAGTGTCATTTCGCGAGACATAGAAATATACCCTTAGTTGGGTTAAGTGATAGAATTTGGAGATAAGCGAGGTAATTTGTAAAAGTGCACATTATTTCAGTGAGGTTTCGCTTGACATTCCTTTAATGGTGGCAAAGAGTGTATTTGCGCTGTGTTGTGGTCCAACGTCGCTTTGTGTTAAAAAGCCATCAAGCTACCTTTATTATGTCTTGACAGAAAGTGTGTACAGATGTGAGCGAGGCGAGGTCCAGCTGTTTGACGACCAGCTGTGCGCTGTCTGCCCTGGTCTCCTGTCGGATCTCCCGGGCTGCCTCCTCAGCCCTGCTCAGGTCCCGGCAGGCCATTATCACGCGGCCCTGCAGTTTCACGATGCCCGCTGCGGTGGCTCTGCCTATCCCGCTGTTAGCACCGGTCACTATCACTGTCTTTCCGTTCATCATTTTGCGTGATAAGCCATCTACTGGGTTGCTGCTTGGAGGTACAAGGATCAGCTGACTGGCTTCACAACATTACCGTTACCCACAATCCTCAACGGGTGACAGTTGCCTTCGCGGAAGCTCGTAAAAGTGACGATTCAAAAGTGTCTGTAGTTTATTTCTCCTTCGTGCTGCAATTGTATAAGTAGTTAACTAGTGAATTATATGTTCTGCCTCTCTTATTTATGAATCTAAACCTACTTTCAATTGATTACATAGTTTTCTCCAGGAAGCTTCCCAATCATTAGGTAATTATGCAGCCATACAATTAAGTGTTATTGTTTTATTTAACATTTAAACATTGTGTGAACTAAAATTCTGGTAAATCATTTAAATGATTGGCCAGAATGTAATAAAAGTGGCAGAATTAGTTTTTAATTGTACATGTGAACTGCCCAGGTTGCCAAACTCAGATTCTGATTTCTGATTTCTGATTCTGAGAAACAATACTGGACATGAGCTCATTTCCTTAATGGTACCTGCTGTCCCTGTTTATACCTGGTATTGACATAAGTCTGGGTGATCGGATCACAAATGGACAGCTCTAAGCACAGGTGACTGCACCCAATGCAACCTCAGTGTGTCTTGAGATCTGATCACTGAAGCAGAGACATTCTTGTTTTATAACTATGTGTTCACGCAGTGAACAGAAAAAATGTTCACATACTTGCATATGCGCTGCGCATGGTACTGGAAGATTCCACAAGAAGGAACAACAGAGAGCTCAGGATGAGGATGGCGTCCTCCTCCCCAAAATTACCTACTAACTACTACTAGCAGTCATTGTAGCCTACATTAAAATTTTCCCTGTCAGTGTTTTACTATCATATCTAATGTTTTGGGTTAGTATTACAACAAATTATCACTCCAATCTTGTCACATATAGACGCTAGGTTATAGACTTTCAACGTCGAGATATGACAAGTTACCCTGGGCCACCGTGTCAATTTCAGCCTGTTACATGCATTGTCTGTTTTCAAACTACACTTCCTTTTTCACAGCAAAAATGTACAGTTTGCATACAGTCTCTTTCAAAATAAATGCACTGCATTGGCACAAAACTGCGAATTCACATTTTTTTCCTTCAACTACAAACACACGTGATTACACTCAGCAAACACACACACGTGGTTGCATTTAGTAAATAAGAACAGGTTTTGGCTTTACAATCTCATGGGAAGTGAACACCGGCCTGCTCAGACATTTTTGCTGCCTTAACTTTTGTCTTTGTCCCGCCACATTTCCCCCTGACGCCACCCAGTGCCATTACACAATAACAGCAACGGGCTGCGTATCATGTGGACGTGAAAGGATGGTGGTTTTTTGTCAGTGTCTGACGCCTATAGTCACTGACCAAGCGCCGGTTTTCGACAACTTCAGAGTGAGACCGGGTTTTAATGTGTATGATGCATTTAAACACTGTTTAATACTGTTACAGATATGCATCATATTCTATAAGATCATCATATGTTTGTAGTATCGCTGTCCTGTTAGAACTGCAAATCTCTGAAAGGTCTGGCCTGGGCCAGTAATTGACAATTTACTGTATATTGTTTTAGAGAAAATGTGTATATGGAGATGTAGTGGAGGAGCCTAAAAATATTGAGGTATTTTTATAAGCCATATCACCCAGCCCTAGGTTGAGCAGTCTGTGGGAGGGGTGTGTGGGGTCTTTTATGATGTGGCCAGCATTCTTAATGCATCTTTCATTTAATAGGTCCAAGATGGCAGAAGCTGATGGCTGTGATGTATGGGGCTGTTGTGACGACCCTCTGCAGTGCTTTCCTGTCCACGGCTGAACAGCTCTCGTACCTCACAGTGATGGGACTGGTCAGTATAGACTCTTTGTGAGAACCTGAAAAGGGTGGATGTGCACAGACCAGTTGTCTTAAGCTCCTGAGGTCTGGAAATCAGTATTTTTTAAGAGAAGATAAAAGTTGTGAAATAATTGTCTAAAATACCATCCATCCCCAGACATCATCTGAGCTAGCTCCTGTGTGGTCACACTTTATCAGTCAGTGCCTATCCTTTATAATGCTGACTAGTTAGTTTCATTTTCACCCCATACCTTTTTTGTCATTGCAAGATTATCCTGGTAGAGGCCTGTAACTTTTCTATAAATTTAATTGACCTCGTGTTTATTTTCTCCACTAAGATGGATAAAGGTGGATTTATACCTGTGCATCAGCTCTATGTAGAGCCTACGACATAGCCTATGCAGGTGGCATATGCGGTTGTGAGCATTTACACTTGCGCTGTGGTGTTTGTGACGCGCTGTGATTACACCTCCAAAACACTACTCGGTGATGGGGTTTCTGTGAAGTACTGTAAAGTTTAGTTGATTCAAAACACACCTAAAACACACGTTAAACATGGCTTAATAGTGACATTTTCAATTACAAGTGCACCATGGCTTCATTATAACTCACAGGATTCACATACATAGCACTTGTCTTTTGTTGGACACATTTTCCCCACAAATACAACATGCTAATGGTTTTAGCACAAGTCTATGGCATTTTACTTTGTATAAATTAGCCTCGTGGCTAGCAGATCTCCTCTACTCATATGAAACCAGGGACAACAGCAACATTTAACAAAGGTAACGTTACAAAATTTGGCTCCATTACAACTCACAAGGTTCACTGATAAAACAGCTAGCTTATACTGAACACGTTTTCCAAACAAATACAACATGCTAATGTTATTAGCACAATTCTATGGCATTTTACATTATATAAATTAGCCTAGCGGCTAGCAGAGATTTCCTCTACTCATGCGAAGCAGGAAAAATCACACACAGGAGTTGAAATGCTATTTTGTGGGGGCTTTATTGTCTTCACAATTTATTGTTTCTTATCTGTGAAATATAAGTAAATAAAAACTTTGTTTCCACTGAGGGAAATGGTTTTCAGCTTACAACAATAAGATGATAAGATGTTGTGTGTACTGTTCTGCAGAAAACATAGGCCTAATTCCTCACATCTTATCAGTTTCATAAAGCAGCAACTCTAAAGACGCATGCACAAGCTGCACAAATGTTTGTCAGCCTTTGCCCCCTCTGTCTAAGAAAAAAAAAAAAAAAAAAAGAGTTTCCAACTTTTATGCCCTGACAATCAAGTAAACACAACACAGACACAATACAGGCACTTCACCTACCTGTACCTGTTGTTAGAGGATAGAAAAGGGAGTCAAGTCAATTTTATTTATGCCCCGATATCACATTTTGTACAGCATATGACACCCTCTGTCCTCAGACCCTCGCTTCAGATAAGGAAACAAAAAAACCCTTCAATGGGGAACAAATAGAAGAAACCTCAGGAGGAGTGGCAGAGATCTCTCTGTCTGGACAGACAGGTGTGCAGATATTGTGTGTACAGAATAAACAATTAATAGACAATCCATATATAAAAACACAGAAAATACACAGAATATGAACATAGATGCCAATGCAATTTGACATGGTTGTATGCATTTATTTCTTGTTAAACAAATGTTTGTTGTTAGTGACGTGTCCAGTAATTATTTTGCAGCCTTGCCTAAACCCTGTGATCACATACCACCACTGATTCTAGAACAGTGCCTGCTTTACCCTAGTCATGAGCCCACTGTGGTCCCTGAAGGAACTACATCATTGTGGCTGGTAGATGATTAACATAAATCTGGCAACAATTAGGACTGTATAATGTATTTATTTTCTTTGTGGTATGAACAATGTGCAGAATGTAAAGGGCTGTTTATGATCAACTGGAGATTTGCCCTCAACATGGCCTCTATTCTATACACACATTCTTACATGTTTTATGGGATTTAAAAAAAAAAAAATGCTGATATTTTCTAAAAAGTGGTAGCACTGATTTTTTGTGTGATGAAATGATAAAAATGAAATGATAAGAACAGGGCCCAGAGGTGGCGATGTTGGTCCACTGATCCATCCATCTATCTGTCTGTCCAACAGTTTGAGGCAGAGCTAAAATGTAGTCTGGATATCAACAAAGAATGACTCCTACTCATTGTGGTGACCTGCTGACCTTTCTTAGCTCCAGGTCAAACTTTCTGATTAACATTTGGCTACATATCAAAGTGTTTGGAAAACTACTCTGAATTTACATACAGAGTACATTAATTTTTCAGTTGGAAACTCTCTCTTGTGACACTCTCATCTAACTCCACACAAGATACGGTCATTGTCCAATAAACAGAGTGACATCTGAGGTCGTTAAAACAACAGTTTATGGTTCTAGGAGGAGTGTATGTCGGAACTATTTTTTTTAGCTTTTCACCTTCCTTGATCTTATTCTGGTTGTCCACTGACTCCTAGTCCATGACCTTTGACGTCTCCCCAGTGCAGTCTGTGAGCGGTTCAAATGCTGTGTTTGCAAACGAACTGATTTTAGTGTTATCACATGACTGAGGTCCCTTTCACACCTATCTAGTTTGGTCAGGATTTTAGGACTTTTCCTTTCAATATGAACCAAAATTAGAGCTGTGAAACCTCCCTCAGACCACGGTTCAGACCAAACAGCCCAACCACTGTCTGGACCAAAAGAGGTGGTCTTGGTCTGGGTTGAATTGGAACATGGTTCAGTTTGTTTCTGGTGTGAAAACATTTTGTGGATGGTTTGGACATTTGGGCCAATTGCAGGAAGCTTTGGTAGGCTATAGCCCTTTTTACACAGAGATCAAGTTATAGGGCTGCTGCTAAGTCCCTTCTTTATGCCTCTTTTGCATTTTCACACAGAACCGAACAACAGTGGCATCATGCTCCTCCAGTGAGTGATTTTTACACAGCCAGTACTAATCCAATACTAAAAGGTGGAATTGTGAATACTGCCGTCTGTTGATTGGTCAACAGCGGATGGTCCCTCTTGCTCAGGGCTGAGCTGTTACTGGTTTTAAAGCTTATGTAACCACTGTTCATACTGTGGCAAGTCTTACATATATTAGTAAATTATAACTAAGAAATGAAAGAATGTTTTGCTGCCTCTCCAAGCAGCTGTAGACTGAGAAAAAAATAACTTGATTCACTGGGCTGACTG